TGTGAATGAGGCGGAATGGCTGAGCCCCAATCCTCTGTGCGTCAAGCAGAACCGAACTGATCTTCGCTACATCCTGAGAGTCACTAACAGCAAAGCGATCTTACATCGAGGATATTCGCGACATAGACAATACGGAACAGTGCGCACGACATGTTGAATGGTTGCAGAGATTCCGCTTTTTCCACCACTACACAAATCTACCGGCGATTTTGAAGATTATTACTTTTCGATCGGAAGAAAACAGGGCACACCACTCCGTGTAGGAGAAAATAAAACTCCGCACTTTAGAGTGCCTAGAAACAGTAATATTCGCTGTTTTCTGGCTCTAATAACGAACTGATCCTAGCGATAATATTTTCGGGTATACATTCTCTGAGAGTCCAAGCGTGAATGTTTTCTTCACATACGGCATGCGTTACCTTATGGGTAATATTCACACGTGAACCAGTCATGTAGAGCGACTGACTGACAACATACAGTAGCAATTCACACTTATTGAAAGAATAAAATAGGCGGAATAATCAGTTTAAGTATCTACGAAAAATTGGAACGAACTAACATGCTTTGAGTTTTAACGAATTTCCATGCACTAAATGAGGACGACAGCAGCAGTTGTTTAGATGCCTTCGTGTCGTTAACTAGAAATCAGAACGCCTTATTTCATAACGCCTCAGAAGCGTTGGAGCCCGAAAATTTTTTCTAAAGATGGTATAATGCATTAAAACTTTACATACATTAAAGAGGTTCATAAAAATAAATTTACTTTCTAATCTCATCAAGGCGTGTTTCACAATGCATCTGTTTAACATACTTTTCTTTCACACACAACTTAACAGTGACTGTATTTGGTTTAGAAAATTTTCACTTGTTAAGTGAACGTAATAACACTAATGGCATGTCGTCCGTTTTCTTTTCTTTACGACACAAAATATTTCTTAGATTTTTAACAATCTGTCTGTTTGTTCAATTTGAAAAAGTAGATGCCATATTCGTCTGTATCGGAAAGAAACCGTTACTTCAAATAACTATACTATCATAAACTATCAGTCGAAAAACGTCGATATATGTTCATATATGTGTCTTATCGAAAGAAAAATTTATTACAGATATTGCTTCTATTCTAAATTTTTATATTCAATCCATTTGCTTTTCTAATTTTGATTGTTTGAACGTTTTTGCCAATTTAAGCGGTAAGTAGCTGGTGAAAGTTTCTTAAGTTAGTCGTTTTTCTTTTCCTTTGGGTTTTAAGGTTGTTAAACTATGTTACACTTCTTCAGATACTGTCCAAATATCATCAAGAGAAAGCCTTGTACTAACAAGGGAAGGTATCCAAGTGTGACATTGAATTGCCTTTGAAACATACTTGACTATGGGTAACTTTTGATGCTGATCACGAATACTATGGACGCCAAATTCAAAGATAGGCGGTTAGTTTTGGCATAACTCGATAGAGAAAAGAGATAAAGACTTGCGGTTTTCGCTGTTCGATAGTAAGACCCTAATGCATCTTTCCGTAAGCAAAACGTTTTTGAAATTTTTTTCAAAAATCTGCTTTCTAGGCGATCTCTGGAAAACTATTTCATCAGCGGAAAATTTAAAATAGCTATATTTTAGTTTTATTCCATGGATAGAGAGCCCAAAGGATCGTTTCTCCAAAATGGAAGTAAAACGAGGCCTTAAGTTTCCAGTGATTTGGGCGTGATATCAGATTTCTTGGAAGCCCCAGGACTGGTACCCAGTGCCTGTTGGTAACTTTAGAAATGGATGAGCTATAGATAATCCATCATGCTGAGACTCGTGGCAATGTTTGCTTCTACAAAATAACTTTAGAACCTAGCGGAAACTAGTCTTTTCCGGCTGTTTTTCAGCTAATACTGAAAAATTCATAACCTAGTCAAAAAAATACATTAGAGTGAGTTCAGAATGTACAGTATCCAGTGTTTATAAGAAATCGACAGAAATAATCTAGAAAAGTGGTTTATAGAAAGGCTTCTAGAGAACTGTCGAACAAAAGTTGGGTTTTCAATTTTTTAAAAGCGATGGTGACATCTACTAGACAAAATTAACCATATCATGAAGTTTTCAGCTAGCTCTCATAAGCTTTTTAGTATTAGCTAAAAGCGGGCGGAAAAAACTAGTTTTCATAAAACTTAGTTTTCGGGTCATTCTCATCGATTATGTTACATTGTATCCAGTTTTCTAAGTTTGTCTTCGTCTAAGAAGTGTTTTAAGAAAACAGTAGGCGGTATCCGAATAAGATCGTCAAGTTGAAATATTAGGTTTAGTAAATATTACTTTTTAGTAGAAAAATGCCGTCACTATTCGAAGAATTATCAAATGAATTGTTTATGGAAATTTTTGAATACATCAATAGCTACGATCTTTATTCGATTTTTAATGATTTGAACGCACGATTACAAAATGTCGTTCGTTATATGCCGGTGTACATTAATTGTTTAAATGTGAGAAAATTCAGATTTGACCATTACATGAATATCATTATTCCCTCAATAACGACACAAATAGTTTCAATTCAATTATCCAACAGAGATACACCGGGTCAAATTGATTCATTTTTCTCGTCGTTTTCACTTAAAAACTTTGTCCGTTTAAAATCGCTAACATTGATAAAGGTGACATCAAACGAGACAATGAACAAAATTTTAATGAATCTATCATTTGTGAAACATTTATCCTATTTATCTATTATTGATTCGGGTTTTATCGCTAATGATATACATGAAAATATGTGTAAAATCATATTTGTTGACAGATATTTTAAATATTTAACATATTGTCAATTATCGTATTATAAATTACCATCAACAATAACAACATCAATACCAACTTGTAACATAAAACAATTGACGATTCGTCTTAACTACTTTAATGACTTAGTATCTTTGCTTGATCGATGTCCTCAAATTCAAAAATTAACAGCTGCTATACCCTATAAGGCATTTATTACGGAAAATGAAGAGATTATTTCAATATATCCAGTAACAAGTTTACGGTATATGAAATTAGATCTCGGTTATCATATATTATTTAATAAATTTGAATTATTATGTGAAAAATTACCAAATATAAAATATTTATCATGTTCAGGTAATAGTTTCGTCTCCCCTAGACAAAACATTTTCTGCAATTCTGATAAGAATCTTACCTGATTCTTATCAAATTCTTATATAAGATTACGCAGGAAAGTGAATGGAGTTTGATAAGAATCTGATAAGAATGTCATAAGAATTTCATAAGAAAGTGACAAGAAGTTCTTAATCTGTTTTTTATAGACGTGTTACAAAATGCTTATTCCTACTGACTTTTGATAAGAAGTTTCTGACATACTTTGTCCTTGCAAGACTTTTCAGAAGAGTTAATTTTAAATTATTCTGGACAACGAGTAATTTAACGATTCCGTTTTACTCAGTGAAGCAGTAAGAAACTCAGTGCTTGACTATGACTTTGAAGTCGTTATGCTCTCGAGAGTGCTCTGTCTTTAGTAGGGGTGGCATTTTCCAGTTACTTTCCGTTACTTTACTCTGGAAAGTAACAGTTTTTCGTTACTAGTTACTAGTAACAGCTGTTACTAGTTACTAGTTACTAGTAACAGCTGTTACTAGTTACTAGTTACTAGTAACAGCTGTTACCAGTAACGGTAACAAAAATCCGTTACCGTTACTTTGTAAAGTAACGGTAAAAGATTTTTGTTCTTGTTTCGACAACCCGTTATTTATTTTGTTAAACTTCTGTAATTGATGAAAAATTTTTTTCAAACATTTCATGTTTCTACCGTGAAAACTGTGTCAAATCTAGGATTCAATTACTTTGAAATAGCACTATTCTCTGAAACAGAAGCAGAGTGATTTTAGAAATCATATCACCGGACTTCGAAATTTTGAAATGCGATTTGAGTCCGAAGAAATGCGATATTCGGATCAGCATGGTCGAACACAAAAGAACACAAAAAAAGTCGTCTGTGGATAATAAAATTTACGGGATATAGATAATCTATCATAGAGAAGCGATTAGAAATACTTCCAGCACTTTCACTTCTAATAGAGATCACAGACATTCACATGTGCAACCTTTACAACTAACAAGACACCTAAGCGCAACAGAACGAGACTTTTCCCGTTCTGTTTATCTTTCTCTTTTTACTAGTTTGTTTTCTTTGACCAAGAAGAACGAAGAAATATCTTTGCCAGATATTTGAGCTTTAAAAAACACATGCTTGGACTGAAATCCCGTATTGTGGGGTTAACACGAGTTCTGTATATTCGAATGTGCTTGAATCACCGAAGTAACAAAAATCTATCCTTCACTTCAATATTTCTATGAGTTTCAACGGGCTAACAAATTAATTGACAGGTTATTTCAACCAAAACAAATAATTCGCCCGTTACTTTCCAAAAGTAACACGAGTAACGGATTTCCATTACCCGTTACTGGTAACAGGTAACGGATTATGGTTCCCGTTACAGTAACGATAATGCCACCCCTAGTCTTTAGTTGTCAATATACTCAGAAAAGGAATTCAAAAAATCTAAAANCTGGTTAATCAGAATGTAATAGTGAGATGATCTTTATTATCTCAGTCCGTAATAGCTCAGTGGATAAGAGCACGGCATGGCATGCCGTAGGCCGTAGGTTCGAATCCTAGACAGATCATATGATTTTTTTTGCACAATTCAGATGCACTACTAATGTAGTTTAACTTCTTGAGCATTTTGCAGATCGCTTTACAAAACAAGACTTTCATAAGAAAGTGATAAGAAGTTCATAAGACCTCATCACTTTCTTATGAAATTCTTATGACATTCTTGTCAGATTCTTAGAAGACTCTTATCAAACTCCATTCACTTTCCTGCGCAATCTTATATAAGAATTCGATAAGAATTAGGTAAGATTCTTACGTGAATCTTATTGGGTACTTATAAGTTTCTTATAAGATTCTTAACTGATGCGTATATAAGAATCGACGCCTAGGATCAGTACTTCTATTGTAATATGGTTCATGTTTTATACATTATTTAGCACTTGGCTTGTCGTTTACAGATGGTGAACGATGGCAAAACCTTATAATGACATGTTTTCCTTCATTATTCGAATTTGATCTGTTATTTGAAGTTGGTTATACTAGCTCATCTGCTATCGATATTACAAATATAATTAAAAAATTTCAAACACAATTTTGGTTAGATAGAAATAAGTATTTCATTTGTGATTATCGTGATCAACGCATGCTAGCACTCTATTCAACACCGTACAATAAGACAGTTACTGCACCTCTCATGAATATATACGAAACCACGTCTTCAGTCATGATGATTTATGATAAAGTGGAAAAATTATTTTTAAAGTTTTCAACGACAAGACATTTGAATACACAACGAATATATCCAAATGTTTCAACCTTAATATTACTAAATGAAGATGACAAGGGAGAAATTTCGACCATACCGTTTCCATCGTCACCATTCGTTTCTGATATTGGTAAAATCATTGTGTGGGAAAACATACGAAATTTAAGTTATTTATGTTACAACTATGAACTCATGGTAGATATAATGAAATATGCAACAAACATAACGTCGCTTGACTTATGTGTTGACTATTTTAAGAATATGTTAAGTGACAACATCTGTCCATTATTCATTAATATCAAAAGATTAGAACTGGTCGATGGTCGATTTGAGATGAATACAATTGAAAAATTGTCGAAATTGTTTCCACAACTTGAACATTTAACAATAGATATTGAAAATAACTACGAACTTTATACAATTTTACCGTTATTAGTGGCAAATATTCGTAATATGAGTTATTTGAGTATCGAGATTCATTCAAACACACGCTCAAGAGATCAAATTGAATATTGGTTAAGATCGAATATACTCTTCATTAATTTCAGTATTGAATTCAATGAATTTCGCTTGAGACTGTGGAGCAAATAAACTGAAAGTAGAGTTTTATCAGGAATGTGTTAAAAATAAGTACAAAAAATACTCATATGGATATGAATGATTTTACTGAAAAACAAAAAGATGACGAAAAAGTCAAGTTTGTTTTTATTTCATTCAATATTACTTTCGTCCATTGGAGTTAATTTACCATATTGAACACGAGAATCGTTTAATTCGATTGATTCAATTTGAAAAATAGCTTAAATTTTTTCTCATTCTGCTTCATCATTTGAATTTTCTATTGCGAATTCTCGTTGTACTATATGCTCCGGCTTTGGTTGGAGATCTTTTGTAATCGCTCAGCAGTTATCCATGGCTGTTGTTAGAAGTACATATTTTGCCCATTAGTTTTCCATTTTAGAATGGATAGATGCAAATTTGTTACGCTAATTCAGTAATTGTTAATGGAAGCAATAAGTTTGCCGTAAGCAGTCCTCTTTACATGAAACAGACATACAATATTTTGCAAAAATAATTCATCACTTTTCCAAACAATTTTTATTGAAAGTAGAGCAAGTTTACAATACGCTTTTGCAATATTTGAAATCAGTATTTCATACTCTTTTTATGTCCCTATTTCACAACTTTCATCTGTTTTTGTTTTAACCCACATTGACTAAAATAAGAGCATATAGTTTTTGACTGTACCAAATTAGGTATGCACCAGTTAAAAACTGGTGTTGGGACATCCGAGCTGCGGAACATCTCATTTTGTAGAAAAATGTTTGTTCTACAAAATGCATTTGTTAAAAAGATTTCATAGTTATTTCTAACGAAACTTAGAGCATAAATCACAAAAAAAGAAGTGTTTTGAAAGTTTTTAGAAACTAACAGGTTTTTTTTCGTGATTTAGTGCATTTTAGAATGCTCTAAGTTTTGTTAGAAATAACTATGAAATTTTTTTAACAAATTCAGTTTGTAGAACAAACATTTTTCTACAAAATGAGATGTTCCGCAGCTCTGAGCGAATCTTGATAACCGATATATGGCAATTCTCCAAGGGGGAAATAACCTCCAATTTTACTGCACACACTTCGAAGTGTCTCTCACTTTGAGTGACACTTCTTCACTTGAAGTGACACTTCATCACTTAGAGTGTCACTTTAAGTGACGAAGTGACACTTACGAGGGAACGTTCCCAACTGTCAAATCGCTTTCAGGCCGAAACCTAGTAGACTGTAGGTAATCGAGCATGCTGATTTCGTATATGACCATGGGAGTTCCCCAAAGCCCTTCGAAGATCCGCTCTTCTGGAAAACCAGGTTTTCAGAAACTCTAAAAGATAACCAAAACCATTTTAAACAAGGCAATATTGTAGCCCGCAAATTTCTGATTAAAATGAGACATCTTTCAGCTCTACACAACCTTTCTTTGCAAAGTTATAGAATTTACAAGAAAAGCCCTAAATTAATTTTTTTCTTATTTGTGTAGCTTTTGAGCTGACAATGGACATTCAGGGCTTTTCTTGTAAATTCTATAACTTTGCAAAGAAAGCTTGTGTAGAGCTGGAAGATGTCTCATTTTAATCAGAAAATTGCGGGCTACAATAGTGCTTTGTTTAAAATGATTTTGGTTATCTTTTAGAGTTTCCGGAAACCTGGTTTTCCAGAAGGCCGGATCTTCGAAGGGCTTTGGAGAACTCCCTTGGTCATATTCGGAATGTGGTCAACTACCTATAGTCCACTGGGCTTCGGCCTGAAAGCGATTTGACAGTTGGGAACGTTCCCTCGTTAGCTATTTTTAAGTATCAGTTTATTTCATTGATTTTGAAGTTATTTAGAGCTAAGTCTGGAAATTTGAAAGTCGATCAAATATATCTCTATACGTAGATAGCTTTTGTTGTTTCTCAATAAAATTTGGTACAGTTAAAACTCAGGTACACAAGAAAAGACAACAAAGATAATGTCAATAACAGCATTTCTCTACTATCGGCATCGAAATTCAATGCACTCGGTTCTTTTTCGAATAAGTCTATAACGATAGAAGACAGGGACTTGCGCTTTTCAACAATCG